TTAATGAAGAAATTTGCATATACTCATTTTTAAATAAAAGAAAAGATAGCAGTTCAGCCCTAAGGCGAAGATCCCATACAATCAGACGGCCATCGTTGCTTCCACCAATTAAAAACTGTCCGGATGGATGAAAACAAATACATTCAATTTCGGCGCAAAATGTAAGCTTTTTATGCAAAGGGAGTTCAGAAGTCCAATTCAAATGATAATCTACTTTCTAAAGCGGTGAAAAACAGAAAAAACCTCTGGAATTCCACTATGTAAATTCATTTAGAAGAAAGGATAAAATTGGGAAATTTATTAATTTAATCGAATAAAATGGGAAATTGTGACCGTCTGCTGTATTTGAGACGGCACAGAGTATACCGCTGGTATTTGCGAGGACGTTTGATATTCAACATTGGGGAAAAATGCTGGAATTGTTAGTGTCGATGTAGACAGAGAAATAGATTGCACTGCATATTGAACAGCAATCTTTGTGAACAGAGGTGGATTGTTATTCTTGGCATCTAAATTCGGGGTATGTGTCACTGTTACGGTAGGATATACGGTACTTACATCCGTAATGCTAACTGTCGCTGTTTTTATATCTTTAACAGGGCATTGTTGCAGGCTCGTAAAAATTCCAAAAGTAAGGTGCTTAGTGCAAGTGGCCGCTGGATTTCCAGAGGGAAATGATAGTTCATTAGAAATTAAATATACAGTTTTTTGCGAAACAGAAACGGAAAGCTGTGCTAGAAACAAAAGAAATAATACGGGACTCAAGTAAAACATTGCAGAAATCATTAAGCATCGATCGGTAAAATTATGTCAAAAGAATCTGAAGCATAAATTCCGATTAGAACCAATGAGTTTTTTTCTTAAATTTTATTCGCGTTGTACTTGCCGAAAACCTTGGTGGCATCGAAAATAAAATTTTGTCCACTTAGCTGGCGGGATTTAATTCACGATTGTTTGAATTTTCCAAGATACCAACGCAAGTTGATGGCTGAGGCGTATTATAGGGGCCCTTGGCCCTAAATATAATTTTAATGTTTAGGGTTAAAGGCCATCCATAACATACTTCAATTAGCAGTGTTTTCAGAACTACCCGTTGATTAATACTTTTCTTCAATTTATAAGGCAGGCTCAGACCTAACCAATAAGACTAACTATTCCTAAAATTTCGTCAATCTTATTTCTTTCTCGTGACATTCGTGTGGTCTCTCCAGAGGCTGTAAGAACCTCTTTCAGTTTCAATAATTACCTGGCCATAGAAATTTTTTTCTCATCCGTTTGATCCATTATAAGGCTCGCCTAATGGCGCTGATGATGATGGTGATTGGCTTAATAGTCTTTGATGGGGCTTAAGAGAATTTAATTAATTTTTGCACGCATAATTTAATTGTCAATGGGCATTGGGTAAAGTTAGTTGGGGCTAGGTAAATTTTTCATTTTTTAATTTAATGCAGGATACCACTTTTGATCATTTCACCCTTTCCTCCGACTACTCTCTCGATACCTCGAAGTACAAATTCGGAAATATTGATGGATTCATGAAGCAAAGCAGTTCTGTTGATGATGCTGAATTTATGAAGAAAAGTGGTGCAGCTGATGATACTGGATTTATGCACGAAGTGTCTGGTTCTAATTTTCATGATCCTCACCCGCAAGCAAGAAATGGTAATATTTTTTTTGAGAATACCAACGAAGAGCATAGAGATACAAATATATTTGAGCCTTCAAATCCAACCATTACAGAATTAAAAACCGAAATATCATGTATGGCCAAGATTTTCTCATGTTAGATCTTAAAAATGAAAATTCTCGCTTGCGAGAGACAAATACTGCCTGGATGAACTTCAGAAACCAGGCACTTAAGTTGGGCCGAGGTTTCCCATCCGATGGAAACTCGCTCCTTCAACAAAATATACCCAACGAGAATCCCAATTCAAATGTAAGACAGACTTCATTTCTTATGACAGGATTCCACAAAACCCGACAAGCCAAAAGAAACACAATCTCAAGATGTAGAGTTTCTCCAAAAAAAGATATTTGAGCTAACTGAATCAGAAAACAAGATCAAAGGGCAATTATTAGCGGCTCATGAAATTTCGGCCAGACTTAGAATCAAAGTAGAGCAAACCATGACTAGATGTGAGCTTTCTCAAGTTAGCTATACACGAATGAAGGAATGCTATGATGATCTTCTTGCCCAGCATCAGCAGCTTTCAAAAAAAATCGATTTAACCAACGAAACCGAAATGTCTACTCAAACGTTGATATCGACATTAAAAAACGAATTGGAAATATCACAAAGTCAACTCTCTGAAGCGATAAAGTCACTAAATGATAGCAAAGAAGAAATTGAGTTTTGGGTAGCCGAGTGCCAAAAGTTCAAAAGAGATTATCTGTATTATAGAATGGCTGCTGACAATAATGCAAAAAAAATAGAACAAGTGTTAATATTATTACGCGATAAAGAAGCCGATTTTAAAGCCCTAGAAGAGGAACACGTTGTATTGTTAAAAAAAATTGGCTCCAAATAAATCTCAAATAAATTCTAAAAATAGCAGGAAAGACGCGGAGATGTGAATATACATATTAATATTAATATAAAGTTTATGAGGGAAGGTATGCTCCCATAGCTCAGTTGGTTAGAGCGTGGTGCTAATAACGCCAAGGCCGCTGGTTCGACCCCAGCTGGGAGCATTCCTTTTTGCCAAAAATTAAATTTTATTTTTGACCAGCACAGTACGTTGAGGGGTTTCCCCTTTTGATTACAACATGGCTGCTATAGTTCGTGAAATTTAAATTTTACCTTTTCAATTGTCGTGCAAGTCCCTGCTAACTCATTGATTGATAAAAATGACCCTGCATTGTAAATTTTAATAAACCATTATTTTTGCTAGTTTGCAATTTTCCTTCTTTAATAGTTTCATCAACTCTTTCTGATGGCATCCCAAGCAGCTCCATTTTATTCGCAATCTGTTTCCGGATTGTGTGAGATATTTAACGTAAATGTTAACAAGGGTCTTTCTTCGGATCAGGTCTCTTCCGCTAGAAAAACGTCTGGGTATAATGAGATTGAAGAGCCGCCAACAAGATCTATGTTCCTTCGATTTTTGGATCAATTTAATGACAATTTGGCATTTATTTTACTCGCAGCAGCGGTGATATCCTTTTTCTTGTCTCTTTTTGATGAAGATATCTCACAGCTATCCTGGTCTTCCCTCTGGTCTTTTGTTGAGCCCATGGTTATTTTATTGATCTTGATTGCCAATGCCTTTGTCGGATTGATACAAGAAAGCAATGCCGATGCTGCAATAAAAGCACTAAAGACCTACTCCCCATCTGAATGCAATGTTCTTAGAAATGGAGAGCTCTCTCGAATTTTGGCACGTGAGCTCCTGCCTGGCGATATCGTCAAACTCTCCATCGGCGATAGGGTTCCAGCTGATTGCAGGATCGTAAAAATACATTCTGCCTGTGGATTAAAGGTTGATCAATCATTATTAACGGGCGAATCAAACAGCGTCAGTAAGATTTCGGATGTGATACACGCGGCATCGTCAACCAGTAGGCTAATACTCCAGGATCAAACTAATATGCTCTTTTCTGGAACGCTAATTACACTTGGCCATTGCTTGACCATTGTCGTTGCAATAGGAAATTCCACTGAAATCGGCATTATCGCTAAATCGATATCTGGTGCAAATGGCCAATCCAAAGAAAATAATTCCGAAGACTGTGATTCCTCTCCACTTAAAAAGCGGCTTGATGCCTTTGGCGACGATTTGGCGAAAGCAATTACAGCGCTTTGTATTTTTGTCTGGTTGATCAACATTCCTCACTTCAAGGATGAAGCATTGGGTTCCAACTGGATCAGAGGTGCCCTGTACTATTTCAAAATGGCGGTAGCCCTTGCGGTTGCGGCTATTCCAGAAGGTCTTTCTGTTATTATTACCACATGTTTGGCTCTTGGAACTCGCAGGATGGCTTACCAAAATGCAATCGTTCGCTCATTGACCTCCGTTGAAACAATCGGGTGCACTACTATCATTTGCTCCGACAAAACAGGAACTCTTACCACTAATTCCATGAGTGCTAGGGTGATCGTAACAAATTCCGCAAAATTGCCCTTTACTTGTGAAACCATTGTGACGGGAACAAGCTACGATCCACGTGATGGTTCGATTGCCATTCCTGATGAAAAAAGAAAGCTCTTCCAAGAGCTGCAGTCTTGTCTTTTCAGATGCACTGAAGCGTCTGTTAATAACAAAGCAGGAAAGACAATTGCTATGGGAGAGCCTACAGAAATTTCACTAGTAACTCTTTCAAAAAAGATTTCGTTGATTTTGGGCTCCTCAGCTGACGACCCTTTGGAGGCAAAATCGTTGACAACTCTTGATTTTGACAGATGCAGGAAGTCCTCTAGTATCCTCTGGCATGTTAAGGACCAATATATTTTATATGCCAAAGGTGCTCCTGAAAATATTCTTTCTCGGTGCTCTTTCGTGATGTATGAAGATGGCACGACAAATCAACTGAGTGAAGAGCAACGAAGCCATATTATCCAAAGCGCCTTTACCTTGGCCAATAAGGATGCCCTCAGGATCCTTGCAATTGCAAAAARGATACTTCCAAATGGACCCCCGAAGGAGCTTGAAAATTCGAATCAGCTCTCAAAAGTGGAGTCAGAGATGATATTTCTTGGACTTGTCGGTATTGAAGATCCTCCACGCCCGGAAGTTGCTAATGCTATCAAGGAGTGTAATACCGCAGGGATCCGTGTTGTCATGATAACTGGGGATTCGAAAGCCACAGCCGAATCTTTGGCAAAGAAAATTAACCTTATCGCTTCCAGCGATTTCGATGGCGATGGAGAGTTCATCGATATGCCCGAAAAAAGCATCTCACTTACCGGTTGCGAAATAGATTGTTTGACCGACGATCAGCTAGCAAAAGCATGCAAGAGTGCAAAAATATTTTCCAGAACAGACCCATCTCATAAACTACGTTTGGTTGAGGCATTTCGTCGCTCGGGCCATATTGTCGCAATGACCGGCGATGGTGTCAACGATGCTCCAGCTTTGAAAAGAGCTCATATTGGTATTGCCATGGGAAGCGGATCTGACGTGGCCAAGGAGGCTTCTGATCTTGTGTTGGCGGATGGAAATTTTTCTACCATCACCAAAGCCGTTGCAGAAGGCAGGGCTATCTTTGAAAATACGCAACAATTCATCCGATATTTAATCTCCTCAAATATTGGGGAGGTTGTCTCGCTTTTGTTAGGCACATTGGTAGGTGTGCCAGAGGTCCTTGCCCCCGTCCAACTATTGTGGGTCAATCTGGTTACCGATGGCCTTCCAGCTACGGCTTTGTCGTTTAACCCACCCGATCCATTTTGCATGAATCGACCTCCTCGCCTAGCCACCGCTCCTCTTGTGGATGGATGGAGGTTTTTTAGATATTTGACTATTGGAATGTATGTAGGAATAGCCACCATAACCGGATATTTCCTTGCATTATCGGCGGACCTTGCGTCGCCTTTCCTTCCGTCCACGATGGCCCTTTCTGTTTTGGTGGTCATTGAAATGTTTAATGCCCTCAATAGCGTTTCTGAATGCGAAAGTTTGGCGTCCGTATATCCCTGGAGCAATCCCTGGTTGATTGGTGCCATTATGCTCTCGTTGTTACTTCATTTTGCAATTCTTCATATCCCCGTTCTTGCAATGATATTTAAAGTTACCCCGCTTTCACAATGGCAATGGCTTCAAGTCGTTTCGCTATCGCTCCCTGTGGTCCTTTTAGATGAAATCCTTAAGGCACTTACACGAGCAAGCACAAATGCGAAGCTCGGTAATGATGTCGTTTTAAGTAGCCATCGGGATGATGAAAGTGCCCCGCTTCTCACGATCCAATAAACCTTTTGTACCAGCTTTATTAATAATTAGTCCGCTATCATGGTTCCAAATACATGATCCCAAAACGAGGACGAGACTCCAAAACCTTTGCCTGGACTACGGTAATGGTGCCCATTGTGCTTTTTCCTTAAAGGCTCCTGTGGCCCCATCACCTTTGAAAGCGTATAATTTTCATGATAATGGTGGAGATGATAATGTGTCAGATCATACCAAACATATCCAACGAGAAGCCCAGAATATATGAACATCCGGATTGGCAAATTAGAGGTAAAGATTCTCAGAACCCCCCAAATAAACGACCCCAGAATTAGCGTCATCAACGGAGGCATCACTAGGCGGTAGGGGTCCATTGGCATAAAATGATGAATGCCATGCAGAAAGAAATGAGCGAGCAGGAAAATTTTGTTATCTGGAAAGAACGGGGTATTGTCGATATGAAATAAGAACCGATGGACCATATATTCTACAAAGCTCCAAAGAAAAAGCCCGAAAAAAGAAAATCCAAGGTTTATAATGAAAGAACCAGAGGAGGAAATGCTTTGTCCGATCGTAAATAGCGCAATTGCCGCGGGTATCCAAATCAGTGGAATTACCCACCAGGCAGTCTTTGACAGGCTTTCCAATAAATCGCTTTCAAATAAACGAGCAGAATGATGCAGAAATTGAGGGGTATGAATTCCATTCAAATAATCGGCCTTTGAAAATTTGGATTCTTTAGATAACAATTGCCAAACCAAGGGGCGTGAAAGATCCAAAAAAGCATTTTGAGTTTCGTGTTGATCACCATCAGTACGACTACCGCGATCACCGTTAGAAGCCGAGCGTTTTTTCATTCCCTCCAACAGCCTGTAGGCAAGCGCCGAATGCACATGAACTGATTTATCACACATGAGTTCAGATATCTCAGAACCTTCTTCTAGAATTTTTAAAATATCCGAGCCACCAGGATGGTCACTAATGAATGGACCAATATCATGGGGCACGCCCTTGAAGAGAAGAATAAACGAGTTGGGCTTCACCTCCTCATATGGCATTACCGGCGTCTTGCATGCCTCCATTGATGCAAAAGCAGCTGGACAGGTAACTGCTTCGATGGGATCGGAAGTATTATTTGTATCAATCATTCATAAACTTGAATAGAAACGGAAGAGTTAAGGTAAAGTATACTCTACTTGATGTATCAAAACTAAACAAACCCACCCAATCGCCATTGCTGGCAAAAATCTTCGTGGCCAATTGAAATTTTATAAAATTTTGTAAATGGCGGACAATTTTACAAATCTGTAGAAAGGAAACCTGGAAAATTGTACTACAACCTTGTAGAAAGAAAAACAGCAAAAGAGAGCGAACCAATTTTATACAATTTACAGAATTTACGMATTTAAAATATCATCGACTGCGAATGAAACCCGAGCCGCCTCAAGATGGCCAAAATGAGCCGGGCTGCAAGAACGAGGAGGGACTGCAATATTTAAATTTGATTCGAACTATCATCAATAGCGGAGATAAACGCCCAGATCGAACTGGTACTGGGACATTGAGTATTTTTGGCGCCCAAATGAGATTTTCTCTTCGAAATAACTCGTATCCTCTTTTGACGACAAAAGCAGTTTTCCTCAAAGGGATTATTGGCGAGCTGTTGTGGTTCATTCGTGGCCGTACTTGCAGCAAAGAGCTTTCTGATCAAGGAATACGCATTTGGGACGGCCATGGAACAAAAGCTTATCTCGAATCCAGAGGGCTTCCCTATGAAGAGACCGATCTTGGTCCAATCTACGGGTTTCAGTGGCGCCATTTTGGAGCCGAATACACTAGCAAAGAAGCTAGCTATGATGGTCTTGGTGTTGATCAGCTTGCAAATCTTGTTGAGGGAATCAAAAAGAATCCATATGACCGACGGCATTTAATGAGCGCATGGAATCCAGTTGGTATCAAATACTGCTCTTAATGTAATAGATTTGGATCGAATGGCGCTTCCGCCCTGCCACGTTTTGTGCCAGTTTTATGTTTCTTCCAAAGGTGAGCTCTCCTGTATTTACTATCAACGCTCGTGTGATTTTGGACTTGGAGTTCCATTCAATATTGCGTCCTATTCGCTATTGACAATTATGATGGCGCATGTGACAGGGTACACTCCTGGCGATGTTGTCAGCTCCATGGGCGATGTCCATGTTTACTGCGATCATATTGAAGGGCTATCTGTCCAATTGGAGCGATCTCCTCGCCCATTTCCAAAGCTCATCATTAAGGACGGCATTAAAAGGTCCAGACTGGTAAGGAAATATGTACGACATGACGTGTTAGGAGGATTTTGAGATTTCCGACTTTGAGCTTATTGGGTATAACCCGCACCCAAAGATTCAGCTTCACATGTCCGTTTAAAGCGATGCACCATTGAGCAATAAAGGCGTCAAAAAGGCCGTGTATATTCCCGAGCGTTTTCAATTAAACTTTACTTGGTAAAAGTCCGTAAATCTAATATGGTACAGCTACTCCAGCCCATTTTTCATTTCATTCATCTAATGGGGGAATGGTGGAAAGAAAGGCTTTGGTGATTTGTAGCTGCTTTTCAATGCCCTTGTCGCGCTCCGATAGACTCGATCTAGAAGACCTCGACTGGGTTTGGAGTGACAATCTAGGCAACATAGCATCCCCCCTATTGAGGGACATGTTTTCGAGCTCTGATTGGATGATATCTTTTGCTCTTTCAATACGAGAAATGGAATGCGGCAATTGCTATAGTTATCAAACATAAGGAAACCTCGGATAGGTCAAGCAATTTTTTTTGGCTATCCAGAAAAAGTAAATGCACGTCATTTGGCCATGTTTCAACATAGGGCCCTTGAAAATCTTCCCCATCTATCTCGCAAAATATCTCTTCGGAGGCAATCGAATTTTCAAACAAAAGAGTTTCGGCATCTGCCAGCGAGGTGGCTAAGCTTCTCACCTTTTCCGGTGCTTCTTTTCGCAGCTCAATCAATTTCTTTATGTTCCTTAAATACCTCTCCTGCTCTTTGACTAGATCATCTCGCAAGTTTATGTCAAAGGGCTCAAAATCTAAATGTCAAAAATTGCACCCTACTTTTACAAACAGACTCGCTGGCATTTTCTTTTAGAATTGCATCATAGTCAACGCCATTAACTTGGATGTTCGGTGCAATTTGCGTTTTTAGGATCTCGTTGATCCGCTACAAGTTATGGCCCCTGGAAAGATTACCGATGTGACTTTTGAGCCAAGATGGGCCACCTGCTCTGGATGGCTTTTGGCTGAAATTCCAAGTCCATCGAGAATTTCAAGTAATTTTTGCGATGAATACTGATTGATGTTGTCAAAAATGAATTTGACGTCGGGCAGTGTTTCTATTTGGATTTTCGAAAATGGCGAGCTGTTCATTAAAATACAGCACAAATAAATTTAATTAAATTAAATTAAACTATTGAGCCATAAAATTGGACAAAAAGCCTTGGACAGCCTTTTTAACTTTGGCATCTGGGTGCGACTAACGAATAAGAAATTTTGGTCTTACCTTTGAAAGGAATGAAAAAAGCGGGGTCGGAGAATACTCCACAGCATTGCAATTATCCGGATCATCAAGAATAGGGTCAAAGTCACTTCCTATCGTATTTATGCAAAGAACCTCTCCAGAGGATGTTGAGGATGGCGAAAACAGCATCTTGAATATGGCAGGGKATGCCTTGCCAATTGAAGATAAATTATCGAGCAGAAATGTCACAGTTTCTGGTGCGATTTTCGCCATGCAGATCCACACCAATCTTTGGGCAAATGAGGCAACCCGAGAATTAGGAAGGTTGCTCTGTCGAGAAAATAACTCTGTAATTGTTGCTTGTAGCAATGTTCTTTGGCTTGGCGTTAGCGAAAAGAGGTCTGCATCTTTGCATGTAAATGTTGGTTTCCATTCAGAAAAGATGTTTTTTGGAGCAGGCCGGTTTTTTCCTTTAGCAGACGAGCCTCCCATTGAAGGTGTGTAGCAGGGATGAAGAGAAAAATCAAAAAGAACATGTGCGAATGCAAGACGCAGGAACTTGTAAAAAAGATGGTAATAAAAAGCCAGGTCAAATTGAATGGATTTCTGGTGCGAGGCAATGGTAAACACCGCAACCAAGTAATGACAAACATCCCAGTGGACCTCCATTTTCGATGCGCAAACAAAATCCTCCCCAAACGGTTTCAACGAGGAAATTAGATCCGAAAAATAGATCGAATCGATGAGAAAAGAAAACTTTGTCAATCCCCTGCACACGCCCGCAATCAACGGTAAACGGTGACAGCCAACTGGGGGGCATTTTTTTAAAATCCCGATGTATATTTTGAATAAAAAAACCATATTGTCTTGATGCGCCCTGTTCTTCCTCTCGACACTAATGACGGCCTCGTTTTCTTCCAGCTCTTTCCTCCACTTGATTTGCTCCTTTAGATTCTACAAAGAGGTTATAAATCATGAATACCTTTTTCCCCAACTTTGAGAGATGAGGGGTTTGCTTTTTCTTTTCCGTCAGTGAGGTTTTGGCTTTAGCATTTGAATGGGTTCTTGCAGATGCTTGCAAATTTTGTTCTTTGATTTTTAACAGAGCCTCCAATAGCTACAAAGGTAAAGATGATCCAAACAATTACCATGGGATGGACGATGTATGAGTTTTTCTGAGCTGCGTGAGATGCACTTTCCAGTATGCTAGCCGTTTTGAACCCTATATCATCGGTGGCAAAAACTTCTTTGATGGTAGAGCCAATTAGCTCTGTTAATTTTTTTGTTTCCATTCTGGACGGAATGGCCAGATATTTGCAAACGGCAGACGTCACTCGCTGGCTAAAGTTGAAATGCAAGGCAACTTTCAGCAACTCAAGCAAGCACTTGATGGAAAGCATGCAAATCTTTTCGGAAATACCTGCAGAATTGGGCTTTAAAAGCAACTCGGACCCGTGAGTAAGGACATTAATGTACTTTTGATAGTACAGCAACAATGAACATTCATAGTCCCGCTGTTGGGCAACGTCTCTTGAAACCTAAACAGTAAGCCCAAGTGATCAACCTTTGTCTTTCGCTCTAGCGCACTTAATTCTCTTATGAGATACGATGGAATTATGTCACAAAAAACAGTAAGAATGCTGACGATTACCAATTTGAAGGCGGCAACCGTCTGTTCATCTTGGCTTGACAAGGAGAGAAACAATAAAGCATTGGCATATTCAACAAGCGTCTTCAAATTTAATATCTTTTCTTGGGGCTTTTCGATTATCGCAAGAGCTAGCTCGCCAATGATTTTCTTCCTTTCCTCTTCAGCCGATGCGATCAGAGCATTACACCGCTCCGCCAATATTGCATCGTGGGTTTGTTTTTTTGCAGACACTTTCTTTTCCAAATTGTCCTGAAAATGTGCAGGTTCGATTTGATGCCCATTCACGCTTTCTAGCTTGGCTCTTTTTTGTATTTGCCAAAGAGGGCCGTGACGAATGGGCAAAACGGAAGGCATTATTTAAATTTTTTAAAAATTCATTTTCATTTAAAGGTCTCCTCGAGGAATTTAATTTCCTTGTTTAAGGTGTCGATATCAATGATAGACTTTTCCTTAATTTTCATTATTTGGCTGTTGAGAGGGCCAAATGACGATTGATATTGATCACAAAGTTTTGAAACCTCGGATAAAACAACACTAAGCTGATTGGGGAGCCATTTTATGATAGGCGAGCCTCCAGTTGCGACGGGATGCTTTGAGTAGGATAAGATATAGGCCTTTGTAAAATGCCAGTGTCTCCATCTAAATTCTCTCAAAAAGTCCATCAAAGTTATTGCAAGTGCTGCACTTTCTTCGGATTTCATACATCTCTCTATCAGGCCCTCAGAACGTGATTTGACCAGTTTCAAGTATTTTTCGTGAAGAATGGGCCTGTATGTCCGAAATTCGGATAGGATTTGAGTCAGGGGATTATCGGGCATCTTATTGGTTATTTCTAAAAGGTTGTCTAAAAGCGGGACCATAGAGTCATTGGCTCCACTTTCTCCGCGAAAAAACAAGGGATCAGAGGAAACCCCTTCATAGACAACACCATTCGGAAACATGGGCTAATCGGACGTTAAAGCAATCAAGTTTACCTGATTTTTAATGCCCATGATAAAGGTCCTAAAAGAGGCATAGCCCTCAGGCGAGCTTCTAGACCACATTTTTTGCATGGAGTCATTGATGGCTCTAAAACAAGTTGTCATTTTCGATAGTCCAGCAACAAGAGACATGTCATCTTGTGCACAGAGTATATCTTCAGTTGCGGCGATCAATTTTGCAGAATGAGAAACCATATCCACATGGACAAGTACAAATCCAGCCTCATCTTTGGATCCCTCAAAGCTTCTTATCAAAGAAAGATTATCAAAGGAAATCTCCTTCGTGGCGTCAATTCTTTTGTAGTTATATAGCCTAAAATTAAGCATCAAAAAGAATTCATTTACGCATATGAAAGCGCATATTCCATAAAGGGCTTTGCGTTTAGCTTTTCAGCCAACATGGAAAAGGGAAGTGCAATCGATTTTGGAAGGATATTTCTTCCCATTCCATATGAGCATGAGCTCGGATCTTTCATGTGGCGCAAGTGACATGGTTCCAAAAGGTAAGCACTTGCTAGAAACGAATAATCGCGAAATAATGCTATGACAAGTTGAGTGCAAGCAAGACATACCGTGTAATAACCGGCAGTCAACGACCTGTTTGACTTGCTCAGAGAGGTCCGGAAAGTCTCCATTATCGATGAGGCCCCCCAACCTCCCGGTCKCCAATAATCCAGGGGTCGATTTCTTGGTCATAATGGGCATATCTTGTAAAAGATCTTCTAAGCACTTAAATTCGGCTGGCAACACGTCCAGAGGGTCCTAAAATATGAAACACACGCTCTACATACATTTAAGGGAAGAAATCCAGTAACATCGTTAGGAATGAATTGAAGGCCAGTGCCTGTGCTCTCAAATTGCTCCTGTGAGGCGATAAGAGGAAGTGGTCCAATGTAAGCGCTGTACGGCATTGATTAAAAACAGCCTTTTTGACCAATAAAGCTGATCATAATACATTATCTGCAATTAAGTTAAATTGAATCAACTTGGGCCAAGCCCGTGGATGCCAATTAAAAAATTTAAAAATGGAAATTATTTAATTTGAAGGTGGTGTGTCTTTTCAACAATGCCCACATTGTCCCGTGGAATGGAAGTTGATGGTTTTAAGCGGGGACATCAGAATATTAAATGCATTTTCTCGGATTTAATGCGCATGAAAACGAATTTACACAATTTTTTTCTTCCTCCAAATATATTGCAGGAGGTGCCCTCAACTTTGCCAAAACCAGCTTCCAGAGTTGATAAAATTGCTTCTGAATTAATTGATTGCTGCCCTTTTTGCGATTACAGCAGGTATGAGAGCTTTTTGGGATATTCTGAATTTTCTGAGCCCTGCATAAAACCATTGGAATGCAGTTTTGATCCGATCACTGGAATTTCTGTGGTGCCCCCTTTTTGCCTGCCCTTTTCTTTGAATCCGAATGATGGGGGTTTTATCGATAACTACATTTACAAACACGCCCTTCTTAACCTATTATCCTATTCGATTAATTGTACAGACTGCAGTCAAGTTTTTCACATTGAATGCGCGAGAAGAAATTCATCCACCAATGCTGTTATCCCTTTAATTTATTCTCGCGATAGAGACAATAAAGGCAATAGGGAGCCTTTTGAACTAGTGTTTCCAAACGCAATTATTTGTCTTCGAACGCAGCAATGTTTTGATTGTCTTTTTTCAGGGTCCAATGATATCCAAAAAACCGCAGTCGCAAGCTCAGTAGAAAAACCAGCCAACAATTTACAAGAGAAATGCAGTAGATGCTGGAGAGACTTTCAATTATCACATTTAGTTGCTGTTCAGGCCCGCCTACTTTATGTAAACAAGAATATTAAGGAAAATCAATCTTATTCTGAGCTGATTTGTTCATCGTGTCTGGAATGTTCCCATTGCTTATCTTCTGGGGATGATGATCCATACTGCTCTACATCTATACTTGGATTGCCAAAGAAGCAACAGTCTCTTCCTTGGGTTGTATTTTGGATATATTCAGCCCCGCCTCTTTCCTTGCTATTTTGTGGAGGATGCGCATCAGCGATGGATGCCAAGGAATATTGTCCAATTTGCTTTCAATTGTACGACAGAGACAATTTTTCCATACCAATGGCTAAGTGTGACGACTGTAATAGGTGGATCCATGTTGGATGTGATCCATCCATCGATCTTTCTTGGTATGCTTCTGCTTCAAATGGAAATGGGGCTCTTCAATATACTTGTCCCTGTTGTGTACGGGGAAAATCGGTATGCCTTTCAAACGAAAATAAAAGTGAAATATCCTCAACACTGCCAAATCATTCATGTTCCTTCTATTCGTCTGGTACTTGGATTTTAAGCCATGGGGTAGTTCCTTATTCCCCAACCCCTCATATTCCAGGCAAGTGGATTAAAAGCTTGGAAAGTGGAAAATGGCCCGTTGAACTTGTAGTGGCCAGATTCGTTCCTTCCTTTAGGAGTCTTGGGAAAAAAACTCTTCTTCTCATAAAGGTTCTTCGCGGTTGGGAACCCGCAGGACAATCTCCAAGGCTTGAAATCCGATTCTTGGATCACACTGAAAATGGTTCTCCGTGCGCTTTTAAATTAGACAGCCTCAATGATTGGAAATCTTTATACATCGATTTATGGCTCACATGGGTGGGATATTGCTCGCCATTTTCTAGAATACACTGTTTAAGCTTTATCCTTGGCGAATCTGTCCTTCAATGTTTGAGGTCTGCTAGCTTCATTTCTTGTAACACCCCATCATCTTCAAAGTGTACCAGAGCAATTCCTGGCATTAAACGCAAAAACAATCTTGGCTTTGGTCAATTAAGGCACGCTGTCAATGGCACGTGCAACAATGAAATGGTTTCATCGATCAGCCTCAATTATTTCGACCGCAACTATAGCTCGGTAAATTCCCTCTCTATTCACCGATCATCCATTCAAGGATTAGGTGTTTACGCTAAGGTATCGATCGAAGCAAATGTCCCGCTTCTTCCCTATTATGGTGTCATAGTTGGCCCTCATTTAGCAGAGAACCTGGAGTCTCTGTATGAATCCCTTGGTCTTGGATGTTATTTTTTCAAAATTTCGTCAACGCTAATTATTGATGCCACACTTGGAGGCTCTTCTGCCCGATTTGTGAACCATTCCTGTGATCCGAACTGCGTAACTAAATCTATTTGTTCTGCAAAGGCTTCCTTTTCATATAAGCTAAAAAAAGGCGGCATTACCTGCACCAACAGTTGCAGGCCGTCTTGTTCGATTGTCGTTATTTATTCAAAGCGAGATATAAATCCAGGCGAGGAGCTAACTTATGACTACATGTTTAAATTGGAAGGGGACCATTCACTGCGTATTCCTTGTGGATGTAGATCACCAAAATGTAGAGGCTTTATGAACTGATTTTCTGTGTATAGATGTAGATCCATTAGTTCCAGCGAGACTTTCCTTTTCTTCTCAAAAATAAACGTAAACCTATTTAGGTGAAAATAATTTCGTCATCGGCGAAAACGAAGCTTAAAAGGCTGCCTTATGTTTGTTTGTAAGAGTGGATATGTGCTGATGTTCCTTGAACACTACTATTTGTCGCTTTAATAATTAATTTGAGCGATTATGCTGTTTTATTGTTGTTTTAATTGGTCGAAACTTTTTTTAATTTAGCGACCCCATCTATGATGTTAGTCGATCCAAAGAAAGGCTATATTTTCTATGGAACAGGAATATTGTTGCTCTTGCTGGCAGGAATCATTTTCTATGCAGTTAATTTAAGCGGATCACTAGCCATTTCGAAACATTCATCTCCTACCACCGATATTAGCCAAGTTGCAGAGCTTATTCCCATTCCAGAGCAAAAAAAGCATGGTATAAAAATAGCAAATATGGTGAACCCCATGCTGAAAACCTTGGGTAAAAGGAGAGAAGAACCTTTCTTTGATAATGGCATTAACATTTTGGGCAAGATTTTTGTTGCCTTTAGTCTTATATTAAGCATTGGTATGCTTTCATCTTATCTGTTCCTTGCGATTTACAAGCCGCCCCCGCCCCCACCTCCACGTCACTTTCCAAGAGTCACCACTATCTTTAGGGGCATTTTCTTATTAATACGTGTGTCCTTCAGAAGGATACTAAGATACATAAGGATAAATCCCTTTCTCTCCATTGTTTATATGGCGTTCATCTTTGGCCTTTATATGTCATGGTCATTTGTCTTTTCGATATGTTATTATTTCGCGGGTTTGATCATCAAACTATATCAAATACTTTCTTACTTTTTTTTCCCGATATTTGGCGGGGCTCTTTCGCAAGTGGCTGGTTTTGGTATTCTTGCGATTTCCCTTGTTTACATTTGTGGACTAACAATTTTTCCATTCATTTTGCACCTATGGACTGAGTTCTTAAATATTTGTCAAGCTATTGAGGTACCCGAACTCCCAGGAAAAAGCAAAATTGCTTATTTCTTTTCAAGGATAAAGTCAAGATTTTCCCGGCGTAATTTAGATGATACATATCCACATCCAAGTGCTCCATCATATTATACCGAGCAACAACCAGCATTTAACCCTTATTTTAAAGAAGAAGAAGAACCAAAGTGAGCTTTACATTTTAAGCGTAATGTTTAAATAAATTTTAATATAATTTAACGGTATTTAAATTTACTGGATATCTTAATTTTCGGTGCTACCATGGAACGGATCCTCACCATCGGTTGATGCTATGCTTTCGTTTTCAGAAGAATCATCTTTGATGATTCCGCGTCTTAGTATATTTTTTGCACTAGATGGTTTCCTTATTACAGGAGAAATATCAAGAGTAAGCTGGGATTTACCAGCATCACGAGAATTAGAGCCACTTTTTTTAGCAGGTTTCCTTTGCGTCTTGGGCAATACATTAGTTGCTGCATGTTGACTCTGATTAACCGCTAAATTTATACCTGGCGATGACAATGTGGCCTGAGCGGAACTAATGTTTGATGATGATAGCATGGTCTGAATACGATCTAAGAGTGAATTGTTATTTGTCCGTGGAGATGGGACTTGATTCGTGATACTTGGATCGGAAGCTGAGGCCGTGAGTTCGGTTGGAGGATTTGATTCTGAGGATGACACCATTCCAATAGCTCTATTTAGCTCCAAGGATTTTGTCTTTTTGGCCTGCATTGATTTGCTCTCTTTAGCTTGCATAGGCTTGCTCGTCTTTTTATGGGCTGAGGTTTTAGCGTTCCTTGGGATTGGCTTTTTTTCAGTTTCTTTAGGCTCTTTGGACTCTCTCAAAGGGTCCTCTTTTTGCTCGAGTTTGATAATTTTCATGGGCTTTTCTCCTTCCGTATAGGCAATTTGTTGGGAAGCGACATCAGCCCGAACGCCTATGTGATCTGAATAATACTCAGAACTGGAGACAAATTTTTTCAGCGTCATCAAGTCCGTTTTCCACAGATCGCAGGGAGTTTTGGACAGCAACAACTTTAGCTCGTCCTCTTTTTCTTTTCTTTCATTTTCAAGCTGTAAAATGCGTTCTGCGGTAAGAGACCATAATGGCATTCCAAGTAAATAGTCATATCCGCCTCCATTTTCATCCTCCTCATATCCTTTTTCAGATAATTCACGTACAAGATCAGCTTTGGATTTCCTCGCAATAACCAAAGTGCCCTGTAAAATCTCACTAATAAATCGCATTTTTGCGTCCAAGCGCTTCCATTCTCTCGACAAGTGCGAGACTAGATTCTCTTTTCTTCGATGGTAGCCATTTAACCTAACCAGGTACCAGTCCTCTAGGATCTCTAGAGCGGAACCATATCTCTTCAAATGGCCGCCAGCGTCAAAAGCGACCATATTTGTAAGAGAAATCGAAGACGATAACTTGAACAGCTTTAAAAACGACTCCGTAGCGATATTGGTGGAGGGGACCAAGTGGGGATCCAGAATTGCCTCGGCAGACTCAATTGCAGCCTCACCAAGCTTGATGGAAAACGAAACGCACGTGTCCGTGTGGTGTTCAGTGAACTCTTTTACCAAGGCAGGCGATCTTTCTATCAAAGATTCAAGAAATTCCTTGTAATTCTGTGTCCACACACCGACGGGAAGCTCCGTGATGTTTAAAACCCAATCGGTACAAACGTATCGAAGATTCGCCTTGCCATAAATTTTATAGCCCATCGATTCTGAACAAAGAATTGACCCAGAAAAGCATCTATACCACGGGTGCATTTCTACCAAAGGCTTTTCTTCAATTTTTCTGAGCACGTTTTCAATTACTTCCAAGGGGCTAAAGGGCGGGATAAATGTTGACCATCCCGTTCCAATGCCTTCGCTTCCATTTACAAGCAGCATTGGGATAATGGGCATGTACCATTCAGGTTCAATAGATTGTCCGTCATCGTTTAAATACACCAAAAGGTCATCGTCGCTTTCCATGAAAATAAGTCGTGAAATTTCGGACAAGCAGGTAAAGATGTAACGAGGAGAGGCAGCATCCTTTCCTCCTTGAAGGCGAGTACCAAACTGGCCAGAAGGGACAAGCAAGGGAATGTTATTTGAGCCCGTATAGTCTTGGGCCAAGCCAATAATGGAAGCACATAAAGATGCCTCTCCGTGGTGATAAGCCGCATGCTCGCTAACATAGCCAGCTAATTGGGCAACTTTGATTTCTTGCTTTAGCTTTCGCTTGAAGCAAGAAAAAAGAATCTTCCTCAGTCCTGGCTTGAGGCCATCAATTACACTTGGAATGGACCTGACATTATCGGCCATGGAAAATAAAATCAATTCACGCTGCACAAAATCCTCAATCGTAAATTGAGGAGTCGAACAATCCAAAAATGTTCCAGGGACAAAGGCATGAAGCCACTCTTTCCTAGCATCGGCTTTCTTTTTAGAAAATGCCATATCAATCAAGACGCGCTCACCATCCTAAAGATATGATTGCTATCTTACAGTCATGGAGACAAAGGGCTTGGCATGTAAATTCATTGAAGAAAAATATTTCTTGGCATCTGCTGAGGTAGAGGTTCCCAAACCTTTGTAATATTTGATCAGAAATAACGATAAGCTGTGGGTGGTTTGAATGGTTTTCCAATTCTCATATTCTGGAATCGTATAAAAAGAGATTGCCCCAGTGGTGGAATCAATTCGAGCCCCAATGCCCACTCCCGAGATTTGTCTATTTGGGCGAGAGTTTCTATTTTTCGGGGTGACCACAACTATCGGCGTAATGAACGCCGTAAGAAATCCGCTAGGTAATTTCAGTAGAGATGGCCAGAAAAAATCAATAAAGTTAATAAGTAGCCCCTTAATGTGAGAGCCATCGTGATCTTGATCCGTCATTAGCATAATTCTGCCGTATCTAAGAGCATCATTATTTGCATATACACGGCCATGTTGCAATCCTAAAATCTGTTTGATTGCAGAAATCTCGACGTTTTCGCTGAGTTGCTTATGGCTACAGCAAAATCAGATTTAACCTCTTACTTGGCATCGCGCACATTCAAAAGTTTCCCACGAAGCGGATAAACTCCAAAATAATCCCTTCCAACTACGGAGAGGCCAGAAACTGCCAGGGCCTTTGCAGAATCTCCTTCAGTCAAAATGAGAGTACATTTTGAGGCGCTTTTTGTTCCAGCAAAATTGGCATCATCCAGTTTTGGTATCCCAGAAAGACGAGCACTCTTGCGTCCGTCAGTTTTCTTTAACTCTTTGTCTTCCTTAGCTTTTGCTGCTGCAAGGAATTCGGCTTGCAACATTGCTACAATTCCAGAGTTGTTAATTATCTTTGTTAGAAAAGAAGCAGGCAGCTGGCACTCTGATCCAAAAGCCGCTGCCCGAAGCGTAAGGGTCTCTTTTGTTTGAGAATCAAAGGTAGGATTTTCGATCAGACAATTTACAAAGACCCATAAGCGAGATTTGACTTGGAATGGTTTGATGGACATTCCTTTGTTTTTTTTTACAAGAGCATCGCTGATTGCCGAAACAAGTTGGTCAGTTATTAGCGAAACATGAGTTCCACCTTTAGATGTATGAATAGAATTTACAAAAGAAACCTGTTGAAACTGTTCTTCAGATGAGGCTACCGCAACATCCCATCGATCATTAACGGTAATATGAAACAAGGGCAAAGGCGATTCAATGGGCTCGCCTCTCCCAAAGGCACATGACTSAACATACATACGAGCGTAAGATGAAAACGATGAAATGGGAATTTTCTTCCCATTTAAGAAAACCGAAATTCCTTTTACAGTTCCCGCCAAGTCGAATACGCGTCTGTAAAAAAGAGACAGGTGGCCTTGGTCTATTGATTTTTCATTACATTTGAATTTTGACAGGTCTGGAATAAAAGAAATCCTGGTAAATTGTTTTCCGTCCGTCTTGTTAGTGCCTTTTGCAAGCAGTGGCGTTATAATAGGCTTCTCCATGACGGACATATTTTTCGTGAATCTTTGATAATATTTTGACTTTCCATCTGCTGTTTCAATCACAAACTCTGTGGAGAAGATATTAGCAAGCTTCGCACCGTATCCATTCCTTCCGCCAGTAACCTAAAAATAAGAAA